TTGCGTGTTGGTATGTATATGTTTGTTTGCTTGTGACTATTTGCATACTTTAACGCGCATGCGCAATAAAATTGTACTACCTCGGTCGCATGATATTCCTCTCCACCCTGGGGCACACAGACATGCACCGTTGAAACTGTGACAGGAGGCACCATTCAGACAATTACATGAGCTCGAGCATTTAACACCATAAAGGCCACGTGGACAAGCTGTGTAAACACGAACGCAGAAGCTGATTAGTATCGGCAAAAATAATTATGAATTATATTGTCGTTCAGTTTCATTACCAATATATCAGTTCATTTTCTACCTTTTACTGTCGCGTTGACGACCAAAGGAATCACTGATGGATTCAGAGAAGGAATTTTCCATGTGCACTCCAAAGTCGTAAAACCGGATATGACGTTTAGATTGTATTCCGCTAACAATTCGGTGTATTCTCCCCACTCATTGGCGGGTATTTGCGGAGATGTTGGCCAATTATCTTGTGGCGCATAGAGCGTGACATCGAAGCTAATTTTGTGTGTTCTTTTAGTGACGTCAGTACACTTAAATGTAGACGACTTTATCACTGATATATCCAAATTATCCTCAACGACTGCGGTGTATATCGTCATATGGCCTGAAACGAAAATACAGGAGTGTTATTAAATGACGTGTGACCCTCATTGAAAATGTTAACGTTTTGACATTAACAAAGTCAAAATTAAACCGACTGCGTGATTAGACAAACATAGCTTGTTTTTTGGCTTTTTCTTTTTTTTGTTAATTCTGTTATCTTTAAAAATGCATGACTATGGTTTACTCTCCCCCCTTCTAAATTCTAAAGTCAGTAAAATGTTTGACTATCGGCAAGTCAGTTGTTGTTTTATTCTTTTATACTGGACAGCTTGCAATAGTTCATAACGTCACCAGACATTGGCAACAGTTAATTATTCAAGCTTAGTATCGCGTCCCTTTTTTCGGTTCGTTTATCTAACACAATTCGTACACTATTTATTGTCATAAATACTATATATAATCAGTGCAGTGATATTCATAGTCACACATTACATTACAAACTACATATGAAAGAGCACATTGGATAGGCTCAAGAAAAAAGATACCGTGCTCACATCAAAACCTTTTTAGAAACAAAATCAAGAATCCAGTATGAATACATAATGTAGTTGATTTCAGCTAGCCGGCAAAGTCCTTTGTTGAACATGAAATGATATTCATTCAAATGGTCGTCTTGACAACTGTTCTAATATTTAAAATTCCAGTCGAGATCACGCTGACTTTTGATTACCGATCAATCCAATATTAAATCAATGTTGTACTTACAATTATCTTTTGGTATGAATGTGAGAGGATATGGTAAATAGCCCACATTGTATGTTACGACCACAACATCCTGAAATATGAACATACCATACACGTCATCAGTTTATGTGCCTCAACATTAACTATATGTCAATGAACTTGAGTGGAGAATATTACAATTTGGTTGGGGTTTCATAACATTGTAACACAGCAACCCGTGAACACATTTAAAATAATACCCTCATACTGGGAGGGATAAATCTGACGGAAATCTCTCGTTGTTGTCATGAAAGAATGAGACATCTTCACAGTGATACGATTTAGTTATATTAATTAAAAAATGAAAGCATTTAAACATTATTGTACATTTGGATAATGGGCGAATAGTTCTGTGAACAATGAACTCTTAACTCCCATATTATAGATAATACTGCACTAACCTTGTAACTTGAAACATCATCAGTTGGTTCGGAATAACAGAGAGGACAGAAATAATCATTCATTCGACTTGGTCCGCCATCTGGAAAAAAGCACACGTATTTAGAGAGTACGCGATTATTATGCTGGATTATTCAAAAGAATATCACAATGTTTCCAGTTTTGTTAATTAGTGCCATACCTGATTGAATCATGTTAATCCATGATAGAAGTAAGAGATAAAGTAGTGCCCTGGTGTGCATTCTTAACTGAAGATGTAATTCAATGTTGCTGTAAACAATAGTGTTCCACTGTGTACGGCTTGGGAAGTCCACATTCTTCTTCATGTGTCGTTTGCGGGTCACAATTCAAAGTCACAATGTATCGTTATACAATCTGCGTATATTAACAACACGTTCTCTATAACGGTAACGCCGTAGGGTATCAGGAAGTTGTTTCGGGCTATGCCCTAACAAGACCCTTCTGTCTCCATGGTGTTACCTATGCAAAGTGTATTTATAGCCAAGTGCCCTTCAGAGCCCACCTGAGTTGTCAAGTATCAAATAATCTACATCTGCGTTCGACAGACCCAGGTTATTGTTTTATGTATTTGAAGCCTTTACAGAATGACAGTCAAGCCAATTAAAATAATTTAATTAAACGATGGTTGTAATGTTTAATAAATAACCCCTTCCATCTAATAATTTATTGCGATGTGCGAGGATATATGGTATTGAATACCTGTACAAACACGCTTGTTCGCCTGCATACATTACTTAATGTTAAGACATCATAGTCATTTCCAAAAAAAAAGTTTAACATAGTATTTAAGCAAGCTATCACTTTTTGGTAATGCCATCTCTTTTGCCAAATATATTTTAAATGATTTTGATGTGCCACCACACTACAAAACCTATAATAAAACGCTTTATCTCAAAATTGCTCAGTATTTCCGGGAGCGCCCATGAACGCGCTGAACCTGTGCTTCAAAATTAATGACAAATCAAGGAATTTCAACTCAATTAAATCAATAAGTTACTAAATAAATCAACTGATGTCACTAACTCCTGTACTAACTTCGAAATATAATGGCGATGATGTATGGAGGCCCAAACACTTGAGGGGACCTATTCAATGAGTTAAATATATATTCAAATGTAATGGAGAATATTCAAAAGCGTGTTTAGTTTACTTTCCGTCGAGAAAGTTTGAATAACACATCAGTTGCTTTCATCTGCCTGCTATGGTTTTTCTAACATTTATATTTGATTTGTGTTCAAAAATAATCTTGCTGCGTGCTCTACTAATGTATCAAAATCCTGTCTGAGTCCGGGATTTACTATTGTAAAGCCAAGTATATTTCATAATAAGCCTATCTTAGTAACTTCTGCATTCGCGAGGTCATTAGGTACAAGGTACATGCAGAATTACAGAATACGATAAGAACTATATAATGTGGATTATTACAAAGTCTCATTTCTATTTATGCTGGCCAGAATGTCTGAATAAAAATCACTTTTGACTGAGTGCTAAATATTAAACTGAGCTGCATACAGAAAGGTGTCTACACTACCTGAGTTTCTCTTGACGGTCTTTTCAACTCCAGTGTCCGCTTACGTATGATTTGTAATTGGACACTCTGTGTTATTGCTATTTGAAGTGTACGTTTCCATGGATACTGAGTGTTTGTGTTTGTGTCGTTGTTTGATTTATGGTCGAGTCGAGTCGTGGACTGACTGGCTGTAGCTATTGTGAAGTGATTGGAATTTTTTTAGGGTGGAACCTTCGCTTGTTTTATGTTTATATGCCCTGACATTTGTCAGCAATCAGGTGACCTGCAGCCATTTTGTTAAGCCACCTCTCTGTGAAGTTTGATTAATAATTTGACAATTAAAAGGTCATATTCTGAACTTCCGCTTTGTTTTGTTCAAAAATGACATCCAAAAGTGGTTCATTAGCAGACTATTCAGGAAGACAGGGGAATCCAAGTCTCCACTCCAAATGTTAATCTCATGCATGAGGTGCCCGTGCATAATTATATTACCATTTCTTGTTTAATCAAACTTCTATTTCTACTTATTATTACAACTATTAATGAACGTTTTATTAGATCATAAATATTTACTAGTATATATGAACATAATATAATATGGGGATAATGGTCTTTTTTATCTGTTAAATTATCTTTAAACGTGTTTTTAACGTCTCTTGCCTGTGAAATGAGAACGTTGACGACTCGCTAAATACACATTGTCGATTGCTTTGGTAATGTCATGAGACTGTAGTAATACCGGTATATAATAACAATGCTATGTGGCGGTCTATAGTGAGAGCGCCATCTAAAGTATGGTGTTGGAATGACTTTATTTATGTCCCTGTGACGGTCAGCACGGCGGTTTAGCGGCAGTGTGTATATTTTCGTCTGTATGGGCAGGTCGATTCTCCTGTTATGTCGACTGAATTCCTTCCAAAGTCGGAGCTAAATTGGTTATGGATGTTATGCTAATCTGGTGACAGACGAAATTGTGTTTGGGTAGAATTTAGCATGCCCGTAGCTAGGATTGTGGGGGGGGGGGGCTTTTTACTCTCTGGGGTGTATCATTAGTTAAAATAGGATGAACAAAAAAATAATCCTGTTTTTAATAATGATACACCACTTAATTACATTTTCTATGACGCGTACACCGCGTTAAAATATCGTCGTGTATGTTTTATTAATCATAACCATATACTGTTAATTGTAGCAATGACATAATAGTAAGAAAGACCCCATAGCGTGGGATGAGACCAAAACACCCCAACCGGATCCCAAGGCTACTTCCCCAGACTCCGGTACCACGAATTTTCATTTGGCAAACTGGGCAAAGGGGGACAGCCGCGTTCCATGGGCGTTCTCGCCAACTCAATCGGAGACGACCCATACAGCCCCGAAGGCAGAGTTGCTTGAGTGCATTATTGCGCACGCCCAGGACTCTGGAGACCTCAGAGGCAGAACTCACCAGCCTCCTAGACCAGGCGACACATTTACTGGCAGGCCACCGCACATCTATGTGCGACATCCCCTAGTGTCACCTGGCTCTATTGGCCGGGGCCACTAATGTGCTATGAGATGCAGCCTTAGATGCACATGTTTTTGCCGACAAGCTGAGTCAGGGGGTACGTCCCCACCTCAGTGACACAGACTGGACATCTTCCACCCTCTTTGTTCAGGGAATGGTGGGTACAGTCTCGAGGCTTCGGAGTGCAATGAACCAGAGGGTTCAGATCGAATCCACTAGCCAGTTGGCAGGGGAAGCATGTTTGACGCTCACCTCTCCAATCGGGGGGACAGGCATGTGTTTGGCGAGTGGCCAGGTCACAACTTAGTGACTATCTCAGGCCTTGGGGAACTCACCTCATGGGAGAAGAGAGCACCCCCTCGCAACTGCCGAACCCATGGCCACATATCCCTGTTGTACACAGATTGTGCCGGTGTAGTCTGGTTTGGAGACAGCGGGTGACCGATCCCTGAACCTTTCCAGGTGGTGACATCCGGTTACGGGATACCGCTGAAATCTCCATCTCCCCCGTCAGTGTCTCCCCTGTTGGTCACTGCTAGGGGACTCTCGCACGGCGGAAGCAATCAGACAGGAAGTAGCAGTTTGCGGGGAAAAGGCGCCATACACAGGGTAGATCAGCCGGAACTAAATCCAGGCTTCTACCCAAATGTGTTCGTAGTACCAAATCTTCAAGTGGCGGGCGTCCAGTTCTGGACCTAGGCAGACTGAATCAGTATATGCTCCTCGATCAGTTCCACATGGAGACACCATTCAGGGTTCTTCTCTCCATCCACCGTTTCGACTGGCTAGCCCCACTAGACTTAAGCGGGGCCTACCTGCACATACCGATGTACTCAGCGAGTTGACATCTCCTTCGATTTCGGGTTATGCACAGCGCCCTACATGTTCACCAGTCCCACCTCGACCCAACGCGGAGTTGGTGTCCCTGGTCATGGAGTTTTGACACAGAGGTAAGCTTGGTTTAGCTATTGCAAGCGTGTTGCTTAGCGCTAAGAAGCCTAGTCGAATGCCTAGTCAGCATTCCCTCAGTGTCCCTCCGAGAACTAATGCGGATCATCGGAATGATGACCTCGGTTCAAGGGTTGTTCCCCAGGCTGCACCATGCAGCCACCCACTATAACGCTTGTTATAACGCCGAGCTCTTCTATGGGAACTAGATAGACAGGTTTTTGATCTGTGGTCATCACTGGCTAGCCTCGGACAGGGGGCCCCCTTGGACCCGCTCGCTGAAGGTATGACTCTGGTAACTGATGCCTCCTCCCAAGGTTGGGGAGCGCAACTACTGAACGAACAAGTCCAAGGATATGGCCCCAGCATTAGTTTCGGGACTACCATATCAACCGGCTCGAACTGAAAGCAGTATACTTAGCATTACCATGCTTTCTACCTGTAGTTCAAGATCCCAGAGTCCTGCTTCGCACAGACAACGCAGCAGTGGTCTCCTTCAAGAAGGAGGGGGACGCGTTCCTCATCGTTGTCAGTCCTAGCGAAGCAAATTCTCCTTTGGTGCCTGGAATACAATGTGGAGCTAACCGCACACCACCTTCCAGAATGAGGAACAGTCTGGCAGATGCCCTTTCAGGGCGGCTTCGTCTCCAGTACACTGGGTGGCTCATACAAGCCTCCAGGCTGTTTCGGCTGTGGGACGGTCCTAGGTTAGACCGGTTTACCGCACCCCAGAATGCCAAGCTTGCGACGTACGTAACACTCCTGTCGACTCCAGGAGCCTGGGCCAGGGTCCCTTTCCTCTCTTCCCGCTAGTTCATTGGGCACCAGAGAAAACTTTGACAGGTGCACGCCTGCATATTATCATTGGTCGCACCCAATTGGCCAAGCAAGGCCTAGTTTCCACTTCTGTCGGAAATGCTAGTCGAAACACCAGTAGTACTTCAGCACTTACCGGACCTGCCGTCCCAACCAAATGGCGCACTACCAACGAGCCCAGCGGGTATCACTTAAACGCATAGAGGCTCTCATTAGACCAGCACATACGAAAGCCTTATCTGAGCGGGCTGCCAACTTCCTGGCCAGGGCGAACAGGGGTTCCACCAATGCAGACTACATTGCTAGGCTGCGAGCATACACTGATTGGTGTAGCGGAAGGGAGATTGATCCATACCATCTCTCTATTGGCCAGGTAGCAGGCTCCTTTGTCCACCTGTTTGACGAAGTGGGTTTGTCCTATGCAACGATCATTGGCTACAGGAGACTATTTACTGCTTTCCAGACGCCAAGACCCCATACAAGGGAACCACCCAACTCAGACATGTTGGCTGTGTTGTCTGCTCTAAGCAGACCACCCTTAGAGCCTCTCTGATCAGCACCACTTAAATTTTTCGATGTGGAAAATAGTCTTCCTACTGGCCCTTGCCTCAGGTAGGCGTCGACCAGAGCTGGGGGCATTGTTCTTCTTGTTCATTGTTGTTTCTTCTGAAAGACACAAATCAGGTTTCTCGCCTAGAACCAAATCCCAGGACACGATCCTCACCCGATCATCATCCCCCGACTGTCAAATTTTTTCTGCCCGGGGGGGGGGGGGGGGGGTCAGGAGAAATTGCTTCTCTGCCCGGTTTGAGCAGAGTTGCTACCAAACCGTACTAAGGATTCAGGACGGGGTGCCAGGCACATGTCTTTGTGTTACGGCCCAGGCAGTCAGGATAGGCCGGCCTCCCCACTTCCATAACCAGGTAGTTTACTGCAACTGTATTAGAGGGTTATAATACTTTAACTTCCTCGACACAGAGCTTGCAGAGACACCAAGTATGAGCGCATGAGGTCTGTGCGATTGCCAACTCACTGGTGCTAGTGTCAGGTGCCCCCCTCGAGCATACACGGAGGACAGGCTTCTGGAGAACGCAGTACATCTTTATCAACTATCACCTAACAGACACCGTATCCATTGAGTAAGGTCTCTTTAGGTTGGGTCCCGTCGTAGCGGGCCAGTCTTGGTTTGCTGACCCAGCCCGAACGACCACAAGGGTCCCTGCACATAGGCAATGGGTCAGTCTTGGCATTTTATGCGGACAGATTTCCCTACCGTCAGCACTCACCTGGAAGCTCCCAGGTCCTGCTTTGCTGCCTATGCCCTCATGCAGAACTGTTTCGGTCTTTACTTCGAAAGCATACTACCCCCCCCCAGAATTGGGTTGGGATCTAGCTTTTTTGGGCACACCGAACCCTGTCACCGTATCAGCATTTTGGCTTCTTGCTCCGGGGACAGCACAGGCAAGGGAAGACACCACCCTTTTTTGGGTCCTAACTAGGGTGTTGAGTGTTTCATCCCGGACTGTAAGAGACTTTCATAATTTTTCTGTTTGCTCGGAAAACCCGCCACCTATCGGCATCTGACTCTGCCTACAGTTCAAAATAGTCATTTTGACTGACTGGAGTCTATGGTGGGTAATT